CCCTTTTAAAACTCAAAATCACCAATTCAGATCTAAAGACAATTTGTAGCCCTTTCTCTTACCTTTCTAAGGCCTATATATTCCTAGTTTCGAATTTTCTATGATTTTCCAAAAACAGGGCTGTAATCATCCTATCAAATTCTCAAAACCATACCCGAAAAGTCAATATTTTCAACACATAATTAAGCGTATTAGGAAGATGGATGTTACAAATACCTCCTCCTTTTGAGGATTTCGTCCTCGAAATCAAGGTCTCTCAAATAACTCCGGATACTTAGCCTTCATTTCATCTTTGTTCTCCCACGTCCAATTCGGACCACGGTGATGCTTCCATTTAACAAGGACCAAATCTATGATTTCTTTCATTAAGAATGGCCTCGGGTTCTTCTATGTACCTCAATCTTTTATCCAACTTGAACTCGGCCAAAGGAACGGTCTCCTCATGCTTACCCAAGCATTTTCTTAGATAGCTAACGTGGAAAACGTCATGAATACCGGAGAGTTCTTCTGGCAACTCCAAACGATAGGCTTGTTTTCCGATACATTCAAGGATTTTAAAGGGTCCAACGAAACATGGACTCAACTTCCCTTTCTTACCAAACTGTAAAATTCCCTTCTAAGGTGATACTTTCAGCATCACCATATCTCCCACTTCAAACTGAATCGGTCGTCGTTGTTTGTCGGCATAAGATTTCTGTCGATCTTGGGCTGCTTTCATTCTTTCACGTATAACCCGTATCTTATCATGTGTGACTTGAATCAACTCTGGTCCAGCCAACACTTTCTCTCCGGTTTCTTGCCAACAGAGAGGTGTACGGCACTTACGTCCGTATAAAGCCTCAAAGGGAGCCATGCCGATCATGGAGTGATAACTGTTGTTATACGAGAACTTCATAAGTGGCAAGTGGTAATCCCAGCTTCCACCAAACTCCAAGATACAAGCTCATAACATATCCTCCATTGTTTGAATCGTGCGCTCTGACTGTCCATCGGTTTGGGGGTGATACGTGGTACTAAGAACGACATGAGTCCCTAGTTCTCTTTGCATACTAGTCCAAAATTTTAAGGTAAATCGAGAATCACGATTAGAAACTACCTTTAACGGTACACCGTGACGGGCAATTATCTCATCGATGTATACTTGTGCCCAACGATCCATAGAATTATCTTCCCGAACCACGAGAAAATGAGCACTTTTTGTTAACCGGTCCACAATCACCCAAACACTATCATGTTGATGAGAAGTCTTCGGTAACTTCGTTACGAGGTCCATGGTCAACTCTTCCCATTTCCAGACGGGCACCTCCAAAGGTTGTAAACTACCATAAGGTTTTTGGTGCTCAGCCTTCACTTGCAAACACGTAACACATCTCTCAACATAACGGTCAATATCTACTTTCATGCCCGGCCACCAAAACTCGGTACGCAGATCATGATACATTTTTGTACTGCCGGGATGAACGGACATTCTAGATTTGTGAGCTTCTGCCAGAATAGTCTTTCGCACACCACCAAGTTTCGGCACCCAGATTCGAGATCTAAACACTTTCACGCCACAATTATCTTCTGAGAGAAAATCTACACATCCAACTATCCATTCAGACTTCACATGTTCAGGTTTTAAAGCCTCAGCTTGCCATCTTTCCAGGTCGTCAATAAGCGTAGACTGTATAGACGTGTGAGTGATTGCATAACACATATAAGAGACATACGCTTTTCGACTCAAAGCATCCGCCACCATGTTGGCTTTACCAGGATGATAGAGTATTTCACAGTCATAGTCTTTTATTAACTCCATGGCCCTTTGCTGTCTCATATTCAAAGTTTGTTGATCGAAAATGTACTTAAGACTCTTTTGATCCGTGAATAATTGACATTTCATCCCATAAAGATAATGACGCCATAATTTCAAGGCAAACACTACCACCGCCAACTCAAGATCATGAGTGGGGTATTTCTTCTCATAATCCTTCAACTGTCGGGAGGCATACGCAATCACCTTGCGTCGTTGCATCAATATGCAACTCAATCCCAACTTCGACGCATCACTATAGACCACAAAGTCATCATTACCTTCGGGTAAGGCAAGAATCAGAGCGTTCGTCAAACAAGCTTTCAAGAGCTGAAAAGCTTTCTCTTGTTCTTCATTCCATACAAACTTCACAGCTTTGCGAGTGAGTGAAGTAAGGGGAACGGCAATCTTTGAAAAGTCTTTTATGAATCGTCGGTAATAACCCGCTAATCCAAGAAAACTACGGATCTCTGAGGCATTCTTCGGTGGTTCCCAATTCTGAATTGCCTCAATTTTAAATGGATCGACGGAAATACCCTCACCGGAGATCACATGCCATAAGAATTGCACCTTTCTGAGCCAGAATTCGCATTTCGAGAACTTGGCATATAATTTCTTTTTTCTTAGTAATTCCAACATCTGACGGAGATACGTAGCATGATCAATTTCTGACTTAGAATACACAAGTATGTCATCAATGAAGACAATGATAGACTTATCGAGCATAGACCCACATACTCGATTCATCATATCCATGAATGCAGCCGGAGCATTCGTTAGACCAAATGGCATTACCAAGAACTCATAGTGTCCGTATCGGGTACGGAAAGCCGTTTTTGGTACATCTTTATCCCGCACCTCGAGCTGATGGTATCCGGATCTCAAATCGATCTTGGAAAAATAACTTGCTCCCTGCAGTTGATCGAACAAATCGTCAATACGAGGTAACAAATATTTATTCTTGATTGTTACTTTATTTAACTCGCGGTAATCAATACACATGCGAAATGAACCATCTTTCTTCTTCACGAATAACACCGGAGCACCCCAAGGTGAAGTACTCGGTCGGATGAAACCTTTATTCAATAATCCCTGTAATTGGCTCATCATTTCCTTCATTTATGTTGGGGCAAGACGATAGGGTGTCCGTGCAATAGGTGCAGCACCTGGCACATTGTCAATTCGAAACTCTACTTGCCTGTCCGGTGGTAGACCAAGCAAATCATCAGGAAATACATCCTGAAATTCACATACCACAGGTACATCCTTGGCCAACTTGTTTCTTTCTTTAGTGGCATCTAAAACATATGCCATGAAAGAAGTGCACCCCTTAGGTAAATATCGACGAGCTTTGAGTACAGAAATTACCTTGATGTCACCGACCCCTTTTTCTCGTACACATAAACATAATCTCCTTCACTAACTGGTATTCGGATCATCCGTTGCACGCAAATAATATCCGCCCGATTTGCTACTAACCAATCCATACCAATAACCACATCAAAGCCACGAATATCCATAAGGATTAAGTCTACTGAGAAATTTTGATCCTCCAATACTAATGTACAATCATTGAATACTCTATCAGCTACTAAAGGGGTTCCACTAGCGGTATCCACAGAAAATGGTCTATCAAAAAGTACATGAACAGATTCGAGAAAACGAACAAAGGCATGCGACACGAAGGAATACATGGAACCAGAATCAAACAATATACGTGCAGAATGAGAATTCACGAAAAATATACCAGTGACGAGATCCGGCTCCTCCCAAGCCTCCTCTGCTGTGATCTGGAACGCTTTAACTCTTGCTCTCGGTACTTCCTCCTTTCGGGTTGAGGAACCCCCCACCATTGGTTGTCGTACTGAGGCCTTACTATCCTCACGTTGGGCATTTGGACAATTAAGCTGACGATGTCCATAAGCTCCACAAGTATAATACGCTCGATCTCGTCTTGGGTAATTTGTATGAATATGCCCAACTTCACCACAGGAATAACACGAAATTTTGGACGGTTCAGAGAAACATCGTCCCGAGTGCGCCTTACCACATCGTTGGCATGCGCGAGGTGTGTTTGACTGCAATAAATTTGTATTAGTTCTACAATTCATATACTCACTTCACCTGTATTCACAATATTATACCTGCTTGGAATAGGCTCGAGATGGGGCTCGAGGAGCACTCTGAGACTGACTTCTTCTTGGGGTGAAAGATCGATTAGGTCGGTTTGCAGGTACAGAAGTTGTTATTTTAGTTCTCTGTCTCTTTGGTTTGGGTGTGGATTCACCATAGAGAGAAAGTTCATGTTCTCGTCATCTAGCACATTCAACCGCTCTCCGAAAACTTGTAAGATCATGATTTGATACAAATTCTTTAATCTTTCTCCTCAGACCGTCAACAAAATGTTCAATCTTGTGTTGTTCAAAGGTAACGAATTGTGAAGCAAAACGTGCCTTCATGTTGAACTGGGTCTCATACTGCACCACAGTCAAATCTCCTTGTTTAAGGTCAATGAACTCTTTCTCCAACCGTTTCAGTAAGTCAGGGGGACAGTATTGTTCGTGAAAAATGGTTTTGAAACCTTCCCAAGTTAAATTATTTCTTTCAGCCTCATTCAGAGAATGGTAAGTTGCGTCCCACCATATCAGTGCACTACTCATAAACATAGCGGTCGCATAGTTAACCTTATCCTCTTCAGAGACTTTGGAGATTCGAAACACTTTTTCTGTGTTCAGTAGCCATTCAATAGCTACAATTGGATCTGAAACCCCATTAAATTCAGTTGCTCCATTAGTTTTGAATGTTTTAAACGAAGTTTGGGTGGACTTAGGTTGAGAAATGGCACCCGTATCAACCCGCTTCCCTTTCACRATATCCTCCTTTCGATGTTCATTAAGAACTTGCCGCACGAAATCGGTAACCCGCTTCATCAGTCATTCACCACGAGGAGATAAATAGGCATCCTCCTCGAAAAGTGGACCAGTTTCCAAGTGAACGCGTGAGGTTTCGACACCCTCATTTAAATCCGGGTTATGCCCACCAACATCCGGGTTCGTTGGTGAATGACTTGCATGATCATCATGAGCAGACATCATTCTGGAAATGACAAAGAAAAACCTAAAATATTAAACAACATACTAATAAATGCTCATTTACCCACTTAGATCTTTCCTATGGTCCGTATCCCGTATAAATCAAACTTAGTTACTATACAATCTCATTGCCCAAGTTTAAGTCCAGATACCATTTCTGGTACCTAGTTCACTTAAACCATTGCGCTGATACCATATTTGTAACACACCAGTTACCGAATCACAATTAACGGATAGATCTTAAGCTAAATTTCAAGTTCAACCACAACAAAATACGGGATACATATATTTATTTACCATCAAAAGATAAGTTTTATATCAACATTTACATCTGAAGGGCCAAAAGTATTCGTCAGGAAAATAAAGACTTCAACCCGAAAAGAGTGACAAATACTATCCAAAAACATAGCTACAGTATACCAAAATATGACGGTCCTCGATTCCAACACGAACCATCAACGATCTACAATTTTCCCTTTACTCGTAGCTTCTTTTCCTGAAAGGTTTACCACTAAAAGGATAAGCTAACAAAGCTTAGTGAGTTTAAATGGATGTCATGCACATTATGACTCATGTAAGTACATTTATAAGAAAAATCTAGAAGTATAAGAGTCAATATTTATCAAAAGCAGGTGTTAACGAGAAATATAATTTCAAGGAAACCACAAAGACAATCAAATGAATTTATAACACAAACACTTCAATAATCAAAATCACGCTATGCACAATTAGTACATTAACCAACAATTTAAGTCTAAAACAATAGACAATTATTAGGCATGACTGACCAATCCGTATTCGTCCACTGTCGGATGGTGTACAAACCCTCTACTCATCTTCCTGCAATAACCATCCTCCATCCCTGGACAGATGAGTAGGGACAGCCCCTCCGGTTGTCTCACCCGGATCCAAAGGTGTCTGACAACCGGTGCCCAACACATAAACAATATTAAGACCAAAATTGATCTTATTTATTCTAAATGTATTATCAAGTAATCGGGCCCAAGGATGGAAGATGTGAAGATGTTGTGTGCTAAAATGACTATGTCTAGAAAACGACTAGAGCCTCACTGGACGACCAGAGCCCCTCTGGACGACCAGAGCCCCTCTGGACGACCAGAGCCTCTGGTTGTAAAGACCAGAGCCTCTGGACTCTAAGTCCTTCAGGTCCAGAGCCCCTCTGGTTGTATAGAAATGTCCCTCTAGATTCTAAGTCCTTCAAGACCAGAGCCCCTCGGGTTGTATAGACCAGAGCCTCTCTAGATGACCAGAGCCTCTGGACTCTAAGTCCTTCAGGACCAGTGCCCCTCTCGTTGTATATAAATGTCCCTTTAGATTCTAAATCCTTCAAGACCAGAGCCCCTCTGGTTGTATAGACCAGAGCCTCTCTGGACGACTAGAGCCTCTCATTGTATAGACCAGAGCCTCTCTGGACGACCAGAGCCTCTCTGGACGACCAGAGCCTCTGGTTGTATAGACCAGAGCCTCTGGACTCTAAGTCCTTCAGGACCAGAGCCCGTCTGGTCGATCTATCCTCTGGTTGGTCTACCCTCTGGTTGGTCTACCCTCTGGTTGGTCTATCCTCTGGTTGGTCCATCCTCTGGTTGGTCTATCCTCTGGTTGGTCTATCCTCAAAATCTTGAAGGATGAAGCTTATCTTGTTTTCGATAAAGATTATTTTCTTGTTTATAGGATTCAATTATCATGTAAATATTGTCTATATAAGGAGTGATATAGGCATAGAATAAATGTAACCATGAAACAACAATTATTAATACAATATGGGTAACACATGCAACTATAGAGCACATAATAGGCATATATCCAAGTAAACTCACAATAGAATTCGGTTGAATTAAACCGAATGTCAAACCGAGTGGTCGAATCCCATTTCCAAATCAAAGTTGCAAAACCACCTCCAAGATTTCCATACAAGCTCAAAAAATCCCTGGAAGATATATTCAATGTCTCATTAGTGAAGCACAACAAGAACTCACTCAAACCTTATTTCGATTAAGGTACTCTACTTTGGATTTCAATATAAATACTCAACTTGCAGAGCTATTTTACCCTTTTAAAACTCAAAATCACCAATTCAGATCTAAAGACAATTTGTAGCCCTTTCTCTTACCTTTCAAAGGCCTATATATATTCCTAGTTTTGAATTTTCTATGATTTTCCAAAAACGGGGCTGTAATCATCCTATCAAATGCTCAAAACCATACCCGAAAAGTCGATATTTTCAACACATAATTAAGCGTATTAGGAAGATGGATGTTACAGGTTTCTTCATCATTCAAGAAATCGCTCAACATTCTGTCCGATCTCATGTCTTCATCGCACACAGGGTTCTGCTAAATCACTCAAAGCATCTGTGTTGACTGGTTTAGGTTTTACATAGATCTAAAGGGTTCTGCTAAATCGGCCAAAGTAATCTTGGCTACATCGCACCAGGCCAGCGGCGGATTGGAGTTTCCCGTACACCCCTTTAGCCGATTTGGTGTAAATTGCTTGGTATCTTGACCAGATTACTTCATCGGCCAAAAGACTCCATTCGGATTTTGTTTCGTCGCTTAAAGTAGTCATCCGATTTAGTGTCTTATCCCAATTTTTGGCCTAAATCATTCAAGAGCCTAGCCGATTTCTAGGTATATCGCTCAACAACCTGTCCAATATTCATCTAAATCGGATGATGACTTAACCGGATTTTGTCTAAATCGGAGCTATCTCGCACAAGGACTTACTTGGACTGGCTATCTCACCTAATTGCTTGGCCGATTTCTTTCCTTAATCGCGTGCAGATTCCAGGATATAGTGTGATAATCGGGTACTGATTATTACACGTGGTATTTATTATGGGAATTAATTGTTTATGTGGATACATGCTTACATCGGTTAAATATGTGAGTATGTGTATTTTTTATGCATAGGAATATATGCATTATATATATGTGTGAGAAATTATATGTGCATGAAGTATGTGGGGGTATGCATGTACTTACATGAATGTATGTATGAATGGTGTTGGCTGTTTCGGCCGACTTTCCTTTTGGTAAGGAGGCTTCTTCTTGCCTCATTTGAAAAGTTTTGGGAGATTTAGAGAGAAGAGTTATCCGGAGATCTAATGTTGAATCAAGTTGGGTTTTTGCATTTCTTATCTTCTTCAAAATTTGAGTTCGTTCTTAAAGGTGAGTGATTTCTAAAACCCTTTTGTATAAAATTTGTTACTGGTTTTATTTGAATGTTCCTTATTATTGGAAAGAATTTAGTTATCCAATTAAGGTTTTTATTCGGACAAGGGGTGACCGGATTAAGTCTAAACTGGACAAAGCTTGTCCAGATTACTCTTAAACCGGATAGGAGGTGTCCGATTTATTTATAAATCGCTTAAGTGTTGTGCGATTTAGAGTGTTAGTGAGAACTAGAACTATGTAAATCGGACAAAGGTTTTGAACGGAGAACTATGAATACGACCAAGCATTGTATGGTTTAGCCTTAAATCGCCTAAGGGTTGTGCGAATTAGTTATAAACCGATCACGTATTGAGCAGTTTAGTCTTAAATCGATCATGTGTTGTCCGGATTGTCTTAAACCAAACATGAATCATTCGATTTAGTCTTAAATCGACCAAGTGTTGTCTGGATTAGTATATCGGACAATAAGGGATAGTGTTGTCTGGATTGTATATCCGGATAACTTATTCGGGTGATTTATATTTGATAATTTTCAAATGTTGAATATTTTAGACATTTATATAATTT